GCGGTCGCTCCGTCATCCTGCGGGCCCCACTGAGCGACCCCACCTGCGTCCTCGCTAACACCCTGGCCGCCTTCTTCGTCGCCACCAGGGATCCTGTAAAGGCGCGAGCTTTCCTGTCGGCCGCCGCTGAATCGCTTGTGAGATCCTTAAAGATTGGATTTTGTTTTTCAAAAAAAGAAATTCTTTTGATATTGCAGTTGGGTTTTGAGGAATTTGTGTTTATTTGTGGGTTTTAGGAGAAGAAAGGGACTGGTTATGAGAAATTGGTGTTCAAGGCGGTTTATTGCTTGGTTGGGGACGGGAGAGATGAGGAGGCTGCTGTTGATCGCCACTTTGAGGTTGAATTTTTGTTTTGTTCCTGTTATACTATTAGGTTTTCTTTTTTCCTTTTTTTTTTTCGGGCGCTATTTTCTTGGGATTTTTGCTGAATTTTCTTCAGTTCGCGTCCTTAAAAAACTAGGTTTGTATGGAGAATTTAAACGCATGAGATCATGGAGACTTTAAGCTGCACAAGAATTTGAGAGCTCATATTTGCCTTTTTTTTTCTATAGGTAGTCGGTTTTGTATTGGTGAGATGCTAGTGTAGGCTTTATTTAGAACTTGAAACTTATTACTTGCATTCTTTATTACAATTTATGTCAAACTAGCATTATACTTGCTTGGAATTAGTTTCTGGTTATGGATTTTAGTAACTTATGCTGTTGATTTTGCAGTTAATAAAAGAGTTCCCTAAAGATCTTGTTTCACTAAAGAGAGCGCAGCTCCTGTGTTTCTATCTTGGCCGTCCAGATATATCTCTGAATCTTGCTGAACAGGTTTTAATTATTCCCATAACCAAATCATTGTTGGAAAGTATAACTGAATTGTTTCCATTTAGATCTCCCGGCATGTTAATTATAAATTTTATAAGTCGATGTCCGTTGATCCCGAAAGGTATAATACCCTTTTATCAATCAGGTACTTCCCCAAAATCAGGATCAGAGTTATATCTATGGCCTGCTTGCTTTTCCTCTGTTAGAACTTGGAAGAATGGCTGAAGCTGAGAAGGCCGCAAGGAAAGGATTTGAAATCAATAAATTTGATCTCTGGTCCCAACACAACGTAAGCTTAGCTTTGAAATTTCGCAAATGTATGCTAATTTTGTAACTGGTTATGGTCAATCCCTGTGATTTTTTTTAATAGATTCAGGAATTAGCTTCATGAAAAAAAAATAACTGTTTTTATGCATAGAAATACCACACAATCTGAAGGAGGAAAAAGAATTACCAAGCAAGTCGGAAGTATAGAGCTATGCTCATATGTTCAGTTGAGACTTGAGAGATTGATATGTTAGCATGTAGTAAAGATGATTTTGTTTACAAGGAAATATAACTTGAAGAAAAAAGTTAAGTAACTTAGTTTGTCAGATCAAAGTTGGCTTAGTTGTTTACTTAATGTATGTGCAAAAACATATATAAAGGACAAATCAGATAACCGACTTGCCACTTGCAAAACTTGGATATAATGCCCCGGGAGTTTGAAAGATCATGAGTGAATATCCACTTTCAACTCAAAAGGGAGAAAGGATAAAGAGAACTTCATATTCAGCTTCTCGACCTCTGCACTTTATAGCTTGCAAGGGGCTGTTTAATGTACAAATATCTCTCAATATGATGTACTAACAATAATATTTATTTCACACTTTTTCAGCTATGCCATGTCTTTCAGTATGATTGTCGTTTCAAAGAGGCTGTTGATTTCATGGAATCTTGTTCCTATACATGGAGCTCTTGCTCATCATTCATGTATGTTTTTTTTCTAGTTTACCAATGCAATGACTTTATTTATGTCCATCAAATGTTATTCTAATATGACTAGAGAAATATAAATATGAGTATAAAATCTCTCTTTTCAACCGTTCTAAATACTATACCGTTTTATGTCCAGGTTCACTCACAATTGGTGGCATGTGGCTGTATGTTATTTGGAAGGTCATTCCCCTTTGCATAAAGTTTTAGAAATTTATGATAATTGTATATGGAAAGAATTGGAAAGAAAGGATGCAGAACACTCGGAGGTATAGAATTGGACATTTTTGCTCTTGAATCCATTTCTATTTCACTTACATTTCTCATTTATTCAGGTATATGTTAATGCTATAGGCTTGTTGCTACAAATTGAGGTGCGTGGTCATAAGAGCTGTATTGAAGAGCAGATAATGGTGCTTGCAAATATATTTGAGAATGAGGTAACTATTATTATATGGAAGAGTGCCGTCTAACTTTTCTCTCCCTTGCTCATTTGCTAGCTACACCTTTGCAGTCTATATGGCATATGGAGTGGTTGCTTGATATATTGGGACTTTGGGCTTTAGCTTGTAAAAAAGAATCAGCGAAAGCTGACGATCTACTAGAATCCATGAAATCAAGGTGAGCTAACGAACATGTTTCTTTATTGAGAAATACTAGGATTTTTATTTATTTATTTTAGAAATACTAGGATACTTTTTGTCTAACAACTGCTGCTCCATTAGGATTTCTCAAATGAGCAAGAAGAAGCAACACTCAATGCAAAGAGGAAGAAAGGTTTGCCTCATCAATACTATTCTAACAAGTAAAAACCTGATTGCATGTTTTTGCCACTTGGCAAATTCCAAGGGCTAACCTTTAATAACTAATAATCCTTTTTTCACCATCTCATCTTGGTCCACTATCCTCCGCATCTTGGGAACTCCTATTCTTCATTTTTCATTTTCTACAAATCATTTATTTTGTTCTCTATTTCCAAAAAAAAGTTATTTTCATCCTCTCTTTTTATCTAAAAGTTTAATATACATACAAGAATATTAATTTAATCTCGTGCAACGCACGGGTAACAACTAGTTTACTTCTCTATTCTATTTCTCTGCTAAATAATAGTGAATTACTAATCTTTTTCGCACTTCTTTCTTCTGCCTTTAATGTGCTTAATGCTTCTCGGTAAACCTTTTCTTAACTTTTTAAGGAGAAATTATTGCAATCCATGTACTTAAAGTCACCCTCAAAAAGGACCAATGGAAAAGATTTCTAATTCCAGTGTCCTTAAAAAGTGAACAAAATTGTTAAGCTTATCCTTGCTCACATATAGCAAACTTTGCAACTGCAGCAGGAACCATATAGTTATTTCCCTCCTGTTCTTTTACCTATGTTTAAAGGTACTATAGAAGATTAAAAAAAAACTCACAGCTAATATCTTTCCACTTCTTCCAAGGAACAAATAACTCATAGTCTACAGTCCAAATGTCTTGATGGTGTGAGTAGGTTTTAGAAAACTAAAGGAAAGAGGAACAAACAAAGTCCTTTGCACTTCGAAGTTGAAGATGTAAGTCTTGCCACTCAGTATCCAATTTGAGTCCCAATATTATTGTGTTTGTTTTGTTCTCTCTTTTAAGTATTGAGTCTTAGTTAGCTTTAGTAATTCGAGCTCCTTTAGTTGTGAGTTTGTGTTTTGTGGCAACTTACTGAGAATTTGTGCTTTGTGGGAAATTATGTGAGTCTTTTGTGGTGGTTTTGAGAGGTTTTCTGGAGAGGGTTTTGTGAATTTTTTTTAATGAACTGGTTGTGTTATCATAAATTAGTGAATAAGTTCTACATTTTTTGCTTATAGAACCATATCTGATGAGTGAGAATTCAATCTTTTTTCTGGTTTCTGAGAATACGGGATTCAATTATTTCTTGTGGATATAATTGGTAATACGATGTATGGCAAAAAGATGTCATTAATATTATTGTTAATTTGTTTTGCAGCTGGCTGAAGCCATTTACGAATATGGAAGAGGTAATCATCAGAAAGCACTTGACGCGCTTGGTCTAGACTTTGATGTCACTAAATGTAAAGTATGAACATTCTCAATTATCCTGTAGTTCCATACTCTTTAATTGCTTCTTTTATATCTTTGTTCTAAATTACTGTTTTATGTAGGTAATTGGGGCATCTGATGAGCAGCTAGATGTTTTTAACGAAGTTTGGTATTGTGTCCTGCTGAGCTGTGGGCATACCTTAAAAGGTATGTGTAAGTTATCTTGAGTTTCTAAATATCGAGACATTTATTTGTCGAGGGAAGTGATGTAGTTTATATGCTGCAGCAATTGAAGAGATTGAGAAAGCACTTAAAACGAGAGAGGGGGCTCCTTTCTTATGGCGTTTGTTGGTATGTTCTCCTTTCAGTCTCTTTTTCTTGTAGATTATTTATAAAGTTCAGCTAGCAAATAGTTCTAGGTTATTTTTAGGCGATGAATGTAGATACATACACATGTATCATGCGAAGCGCTTATATACGTGAAGGATGAAAAGACAAGTATGTTGACAGTGCAAAGGCATCGGAAACGACACAAAATTTTCCATTAATATCGAAGTTAAATATTTGTGTGATTTGGCTTGTTTTTCCAGGAAAGAGCATACGCTTTGGAGGGTGTTGAGAAGGCAAATGTTGTAGCTGAGAAGGCAAGGACTCTAGAGACGGCTTATTTCAAATAAATTGATGTAAAGCAAACAAACTATGTAAAATATCTTGGACTAGCTTGCTTCTTGAGCATCAGTGTGTTTATATATATAAGTAATAAACGGGGGAGCATTGAAAGCTTGTGCTGCTTTTGCCCATCATTTTTAAGGTGTTCTTGCTTGGTTGCTGGCTGCTGTCTTTAACTCTTGTTGGCTTTTGTTGGAACTCAGAGGAATTAAATGCAGTTAAAGAATGCCATACTATTATTCTTTTTTTATTCAAACCTTTTTATGAGCAAAGAAATTTGTGATGTGGCTATAATAATTATTTTGGTTAGAGCTTTGCTACAGAGACTCAAAATATGGGACCAACAGGGGGGACAAGTGATGTGTCCCCCTCCTATTGCATAATGATCTGGTCATTATTTGATGGTCAGCTTATTATGCAGTAGGAGGGGGGCACCTCATATGTCCCCATGTTGGTCCTATATTTTGGGTTCTTGGAGAAATTTTCTTTTGGTTATTAACTAGAGAAAAGTTACCTTCTCTTGTTTGCCCATAATTGCCATGTGGCGATTTTGGCAGACCACAAATTTCTCATTAAATATATTGGTTAATTTAAAAGACTTTGATTTTGAGATGAAAAATTGTTAGGTGCTCAATGAGCGCTATACCACACCAATAAGAGGCGTAGTACAAGAATAATTATTTAACTCTATCATATTCTCATTTGGAAGTGGATTGTGTCACATGGTTTTCTTCTATTGGTGTGCAAGAATAATTATTTAACTCTATCATATTCTCATTTGGAAGTGGATTGTGTCACATGGTTTTCTTCTATTGGTGTGGTGTAGTGCTCATGAATCATTTGAGATACTATATATCAAAGAGCTAGCATCGACTTTTTAAAAAGGATATTTACGTGAAAAGTGCCTTAACTTCTAGGTTTTTTTAATGCAAACCACTTTTACCATATTCTATAGAAATTATTTTTTATTTCCAATATATATATAAACCATCTTTATCGATTTTTTTGTTGCAATTAACCATCTGGATTTATGTTAAGTCGTTTTTTTTTTCGATTTTGCTGTAATAGTTAGTTCTCAAATACCAAGTATATTAGAAAGATAGTCCTTCATGAAGGTTAGGTGGAATCAGTTACCAAAAAAATTAACTGAAAAGTGGGCCCAACTATTGCTTGATTGCAACAAATAACGCTTTAAAGGTGATTTATGTATAAATTTAAAATCAAATGTAATTTTTATAGAATGACACTCTTTTAAAAGTGGATTCTATGGGAAAAAAAATCCATCTTTACATATCCAAAGCAGAGTAGCAGTATGATGAGATGGCAAGCTAGCCATTCTATATCGTTAAATCTAAACCAATGGTTAGATTTGCTTGGAATAGATCAATTAATTAGATAGAAATGACCCCCACCCTTTTGATTTTATCTACCAAATTAAATCTCATGAGAGTTTATTTTTGTGCTTCTCCATTAAGGGATGTTTGGTTACTTTCCTTCACTTTTTAAAACCCACCTTCCTTCACTTTTTGGTGTTTCCCTCACTTTCTTGGAAGAGTGTTTTTTGTGTTTGTTTCGTAAAGAAAATTGGTACATAATTATTTTCCAGCACTTTCCTTAGTTTGGTTCAAATTGAAAAGACAAGAAAATAGTTGATGTGTGACTTGATTCCCTCATTTTCTAGTGTTTGGTTCAAACTAAAAAATAGAAGAAACCATGGTTGTGGTCACCATGGTGTACTTACCACTCAAATAGGACGAAATATTTGTGAATCATAAGTGGGGTGAGAATACTCACCATTTTAGGGTCTAAAGTTCCGAAATAAGACCACTTGAGGTAGGAATTTAAAAATGTTTAACGAATTGACGTATTAATTTTAAATCTAAGGTAGTAATTTTCAAAATTTATAAAGATTTGAGGGATTAATTATGAACATTTAAGGGAGTAAGTCCATATCTTTAATTATTCGAGAGACTAATTTAAGTTTTTATAAATCCATTCGAGAGACTAAATTAAAAACATGAACATTTGAGGGAGGAAATTGAAATTATTTAGAGATTTGGAGGTCTATTTATAAATTTAAGGGGTAAGTTGCAATAGAGATTTTAGTGAATAATTTCAACTAATTATGGACATTTAGGAGGGTAATTCCAAACCTCTAAAGATTTGATAGACTAATATTAGGTTTGATGAAGTGATTTTCAAAATTTTAAAGAATTTGAGGAAATAAGTGCAAATAATTTTATAATGATTGACTAGTATCTTAGCTTTTGAAGTTTTGGGGCTTTTATGAATCCACTTTAGAGAGTTAACGGGACTACTAGTCCCGTGAAAATTGTAGCAGTATAATTCACGAGACTAGTAGTCCCGTTGATTTGATGGGCGTGCACGAAAACGTGTACACATGGTATACGGGACTATTAGTCCCGTGAAGAATAAAACTGAAAGTAGCCAGAACAAAGATAGGCTTGAAATTATACCATTTTAAGTATTCGACATAACAACATAAAACAATTTCAACCACGGAGGACCAGTAAGCCATTATTTATTTTCAGCACACCAACCATATCGAAACAAAGCATACTATGGATGTATCGGGTAGATAAATGAGTTCTTAATTCATTCCATGTCATCACAAACACACAAACAAAGTTAAGCTAATTCACCACACATGAAACAAAGTCAATTAACTAAAAATAATGGAATTAAGGTACATACAACACATAGTGATCATCACACAAATATTACACATTGAACCTTAAATAGTTTTTCAAACTTGGTCATAAAATAATGTTCTTGATAATAGAAAATTACACAAACCAATATTCCTAACAAATCATCACTACAACGTCAAGCAAGTTCACATGCCAATTTCATTGGTATTCCCATCCTTATACTTTTTACAATAGTCAACCCACATCTCCCAAGCTATTTGATCTCTACGATTCTTCCATAGGTTTCTTAATTGAGTTTGCTCCCTTTGAGTTTGAGATTGAGAAAAATTAACAACACTATTTTCTTCTTCGCCCGTAACATCATCTTCATCCTCTTCAATGTTAACTGTCTCGTTGAATATCTCATCATCCGGGTCAACCATTGCAATGTAATTATGAAGAACCGTGCATGCCAATACAATATCAACTTGTGCAGGAAATTGTTAGTCTAAGTGTGTAGACCCAAAGCTGCAATCGAAAAGACGAAGAAAACAGTCAGAAGACTGTGCGGTCGACCGCAGTGGCAGAGCCGGTCGACCGCGTGCACTGCAGGAGACTGAGAAGAAGTTTTCGCTCTGGCCGGTCGACCGGCGTGGTCGCTGCGGTCGACCGATATCGTGCACAAGACCCTGTAGGATTTCGTCGTTCTGACCGGTCGACCGACCTTGGCAAAGCGGTCGACCGCGACGCAGATTCGCTGTTTCCTATTTTATCTAGGAATCCTGTTCTGCTGGGGTTTGTTATAAATACCCAAACGTTTCTAGGGTTTGAAAAGAACATCAAAAAGAGAGCTTTTTGGCTGCTAAGAGAGAGAGAATCTCAGAGAGATTTACCCCTTGTTTGAGAGCTTGTATTTTCTTCTTCAATTAATAGAAAGATTGTGTGGTGTGGCTCCCGAGGACGTAGGCACGTTGCCGAACCTCGTTAAATCCGTGTGTTCATCTCTTTTACTATTTTTACAAGGTTAGATCTTTATTTGTGGTTTATTCCTACTTTCCTACTTTCAACACAAGGTCCGGAAGGGCAAGGGTTCGATTGATTGTTTCGAATTCCCCAACAACTGGTATCAGAGCTTCGTTCAGCAATTTGTGTGAAAGCCATGGCAGAGGAAAGCAAATCAAAGATTGAGAAGTTCGACGGATCGGATTTCGCCTACTGGAAGTCGCAGATGGAGGACTATCTGTACCAGAAGGACTTGTATCGCCCGCTTCTGGGCAAGGAAAAGGGAAAGAAGACGACGGAGTCAGATGGTGATTGGGAGGTACTGGATAGGAAGGCTCTAGGGCAAATCCGGTTGTCGCTCGCCAAATCAGTAGCCCACAATATTCTGAAGGAGAAGACGACGGTGGGGCTTATGGAAGCGCTCGCGAAGATGTACGAGCAACCGTCGGCAGCAAACAAGGTGCATCTAGTCAAAACTCTTTTCAACCTCAAGATGGCAGAAGGACGGTCCTTCACGATGCACCTCAGCGAGTTCAACACGATTGTTGATCAACTTATCTCCGTGGACATCACGTTCGATGACGAAGTGCAGGCCCTTCTACTACTATCGCAGTTGCCGGATAGTTGGGCAGGTTGTGTGACGGCAATCAGCAATTCGGCGGGGAAAGAGAAGTTGAAGCTGAATGAGGTTGTTAGCATGATTCTATCCGAGGAGGTTAGAAGAAAATCGTCCGAATCAGAAGGTTCAGGTTCAGCCCTAAGTTTCGAGCAGAGAGGCAGAAGCCAGAAGAAAGGGAACCAGAACAGGAATCGGTCGAAATCAGTGAAGAAGAGGCCGAACTCGAAGGTTAGGTCTATCAAAGGGAAGTGTTGGAACTGCGGCCAGGAGGGCCATATGTCTTCGGTCTGTAAAGCACCAAAGAAGGATGCGGGTGAGCAGGAGGCTCATATCGTGCAGGATGCCTTGATCCTTGCTATGGATAGCGATTCTGATTCTTGGGTCATCGACTCAGGAGCTTCTTTCCACGCCACTGCAAATAGGAAACTACTTCAGAACTATGTAGCAGGGGACTTTGGTAAAGTATACTTGGGGGATAATGAACCTTGCAATATTGTTGGAAAGGGCGACGTTCAGATACAGATAAAGGGCTCTAAGTGGAACTTGAAAATACTACAAAATAGAGAAGAGAGATTTTTGAGGGGTTTTTACATTTAATAATATTTATTTATATTTTCATTCAATTATGTGCAAACTAATCTAACAATAATTATTAATGGTATATTTATTCATGTAAAATAGATAATGAGGGTATAAAATTGTAATAAAATATGATTATCAGTCTTCTTTTGGCGGTTCGAGATACTACGTCACCTTTATCGACGATCACTCGAGGAAGGTGTGGGTTTACTTCATGAAGCACAAGTCAGAGGTGTTCGAGATCTTCAAGAAGTGGAAGGCCATGGTCGAGAACGAGACAGATCTGAAGGTGAAGTGCTTGAGATCAGATAATGGTGGAGAATACGAGCTGGAGGAGTTCAAGAGGTTCTGTGCTACGAATGGGATTCGCTTAGAGAGGACTACTCCAGGGACGCCGCA